GTTGGAAAGAAAACCTGCAGCCACACGGCCCTTTCTGGAACCAGTTTGACACCCCTTTTTTAGAGCGTTAATGAAGCAAAGGATCTCAGAAGGAAGGAGGAGCTTCCTGCTTTCTGTCTGAACAACTGAGGTCTTTGAGGTAGTTTGTTCAATCTTTTTAGCCAGGTCTCCCTTTAAAAAGAGAATATCGATCTCAACAGAGACTTTACTGTTTAAAAAAGGTATAATAAAGAATAAAGTTATGATTAAAAAAAAGTTACAAATGAATAATACTAAAAGGAAAAAAACCTAAATCATTAAAACCTTGAATCCTGATGTTCTGATATTGATCCGTGCGGAAAGTTTGCTCAGGCGATAGGTTGAGGAGCAGAAAAGACACACCCTGCTGCTCAGTGGATGAAAAGCATGAGAATACCAAGCAGACGTGTTGATATGGAGGATATGGATTGGTCTCAATTTTCACAAATACACATATGTGATTCATACATGCACAGAACAAGATTCACCAGACTATTTCAGGTCAATAAAATTAAATGACATTAAAATGAATTACAAAGTACCAGTGGCCTTTAAACTTCACTGCATTTGCATGTTGGTTTTTGAGACTCTCCCGACATGCCTGGATACACAAATGTGTTTTTTTTAAGCAGGCAATGGTTTTCCACCATTCACAAAGCTCCCTTTTATAAGCCAATCACAAGAAAGTACTTGATGACTAACAACCAGATTCCACATCCTCCCCGCTCCGCTCCAGACTGCCTTCCCAAAGCAAAGCCTACATCCTCCACAGCTCCTCCCGTTTTTCTCTGCTCCGACGTCCTCAGAGCTCAAGGAGAGCATGCTTAAAGTTGTAGGGAAGTCATATTTAAATTTCAAATCATTCGTTTTTTTTTTTTTTTTTCATTATCTTATGCAGGCCATTTAGTTATATATACGTGTAACCCAGGGTTATTTTGTCATCAGTGTACATGTATGTTTTTTTTCAAATCGTAAGAAAAGGGGGTAATGAAGTTAAGTACTAAGATTTCCCACGCACTGTGAATGCACCGCACCTGCACAGTTGCGCTGCTCACAGCTCCTCCCTGCTCAGACCAAA